TGTAATGGGGAGGGCCTGATATTGCTTTGAAAGGTAACACTCGTTCTGATTTGGATTGGTAAGTTCTGACGTTTTTAAAAATTAATTATTCCACATTTCTGGTTCTATGTGTTTTACTGTAAATCGAGGTCCACAGATACATATATGACACATAGTTAACCTCTGTGCCTCATCCTAGCTGTGAGCATCTTTACCACATCACCACACTGATTAGGAATTGGATTCTACTGCAGATAGGGAAGCTAGAGTTTCTAATTTAAAAATCCCAATTTTAGATGCGAAAAACACAAATACACACAAAAAGAAAACAGAGGATCAACGATCTGTCCAAGGTTACTAGGCTGACTCAACGTCTCAGATGCCTTGCATATTAACCTTCAACCCTAACTACGTCCTAGATGGCCCATCCATGGCCCAAGCATGGTATCATTAATGTAAGATAGGACTTTCGCGAAATAGTTTTCATATATTATCTCTTTTACACGACAGTCCTCACTTTTTACACGAGGAAACAGTCCTCAGATAAAGAATGTGCTTGGCCAAAGCCCTAAGGACAGTCATGGGCAAATCCAAGATGTGGATGAACCTTGCTCGATTGCAGAGACCTGTGCTGAAAAGAGCCCTCTGTTGCCTGCCACTTTGTGTCTATGGGGAAAGGCCCTGGTTCCACCAACTGTTAACACTGTACTTGTTTCCTCCTTCTCCCGTCTACAGACTCTTACTGATAAAAATGCAAACCCTTCTTGTGTTTCGGGCCCCATGTAGCACTTGATTAGCCCATGTCCAGGTACAGCAGCCATCAGAACACAATACCATTGCTGTTAGATGCCAGCGATTCTGACCCACAGGGACCCTCGCACTAGTCCTGTGCCACTCTCACACTATTCCTAGGCCTGAGCTCACGGTGGCAGCCATGGTGTCAATCCATCTCCCTGAGGGCCTTCCTCTTTTTCGCTGCCCCTCCACTTGACCAAGCACGATGTCCTCTCCTGACCACATGCCCAAAGTATAGAAGACAGTAAACTAGAATCTTAAAAATAATTATAATTATTGTGACTTACAGTTGTCCACTGTATACGGACCACCCCGTTGGGTAACCTGAGCCAATGGATTTTACCATATGTTAATGCTGTCAGATACGTCTAGATTAATAGGAAGGGGTATGAAAGCAAAACTTGGATTCACGTCCATTTCCTTTGTCCTTAATAGCATAAAAGAAGATGCCCAGCATCATTTCTGCCTGAATTACAGCCAATCAGAATTAATGAAACTTAAACTCACTGGAAGTTGAAGATATTATGACTCAATAGTGTATACCTGTTAAAAATAATTAGTAGGACACAGATTATTGAAGCTATTAAAATAGAACAATTAGGTTTCCTCAAGCCTTGATGATCTTCCCCTTTGTCATCTTTCTTCTTCAGTAAACACCTTGCTTTGCGTAGGCTGGTGACAAGCAGCCTCCTTTTAATTAAGCATCGCAATGAAGCCCTGACAGTACCTCAGCACCTACACACACGTAGCACATGAATCAGAACATCTCCGACCCCACAGGGTCTCAAACAGCAGCGACTGCATTATTTGGATTACACGCACATTTTCGGGAATGTATTCAAAGAGAAGAAAAAGTAAGCCTGATGTTACGGAATTTCCTGTTAGTGCAGTTCCTGTTTCGTTTTACCCTTTCCATTCAAAAACCTTTTCAGTGGCTTCAAAAACGTCCCGGGGTGGCTGGGGTCTCTCAGTAAGTAAGCACAGCTGAGTCTTTCATTTATAACGGCATATTCTGTTGTCTCTGACGCCCATCACACGCCGAACGGAATATAAACGACTCCTGAGCAGGTAAGATGTGCGATGTAACACACGACTAAGCCAACTAAACGTCAGTAAACCAACCCTTACAAGATCTAGCTGGGGTACGCCTGACTGTCGAGTAAGGCGGAGACGCTGGCTAACGGGCCTTCGGAAGAGTTGAGGTTCTACCATTTTAATGACACGAAACACGTGTTCATCTATCCAGAAAGTATTTCCCGAGAGCCTACCATGCGCCAGGTGTTGTTCCGGGTGTTTGAGAGACACCTGTGACTGATGACAAATCGCTCCCTGCCTGGAACTTTCTGCTAGCCAGGGGAGGCAGACAATGAACAATGGCTATGAAGCGTCTACAGGGGGCTGGAAGATGATGGTTGTTGTGGCCACAGGGGTGTGGGTAGTAGTTGTCATTTCAAGTAAGGGGAGGCCTCATGGAAGTGACTTCTGAGCCAAGAATTGAGGGAGGGGCGGCACTAAGATGTAAAGCCATGGGGTGAGTAAAACATGAGGCATAGGAGACCAGAAAAAGCAAAGGGAGGTGCCCTGGTGACGTAGTGGTGATACAATGGGCTAAGATTTGCAAGGTCAGCAGTTCGAAGCCACCCGCTGCTCCCAAGGAGAAAGACTGGGCTTTCAACTGTCGCAAACCGTTAAGTCTTGGAGATTCACAGGGGTAGCTCTACTCGGTCCTCAAGGGACACTCTGAGTGAGCATGGACTCAATGGCGGTGAGAGGGCTCATGGAGGTACAACGGGGGTGTGTGCTCCCCTGAAAACTCAAGAGCGGGCACTTGGAACCCACCGACTGCCCCCAGGTGGTAGGGTGGGACAAGCTGCTCTGTGTAAGAATGCAGGCTTGGAAACCCTCCAGAGCAGTCTGCTGTCCTGTAGGGTGGCGATGGACTGAAACTGGCAAGAGGGTAGAAGATGGGTTACGATGGGAAGGTAGCTGGCTAAAGAGGCTACAGTGGAGCAGGAGGGAAGTCAGAGTGGCAGGTACCAGGTGTGTGTGCACATGTCAGGATAGCAGCATAGGTATTAGAGGGTATTGTGAATGGAGCCCTCCCTTGACCTTGGAGCCTTACCAACAGGAGCTGAGAGGGATGCTCACCTGAAACACTATGGTGGTGTCACCACCGGTCAAAATCAAAGCCCAAAGATGGTTTTAAAAAGCAGAGGAAAGAAACATTGCTCCGTTGAACTGCTGACCCGACTTCAAAGGGCAGTGATAATGGAAGTGCAGGAGGTCAGTCCATGTGGTTACCTTGACCGTGCACTTCAACAGTAGGGTGGGCCAATCTGTTAAGATCAGTTGGACACAGCCCTGAAGGTACCCCTTGTCATTCCAGACAGCGAGGCTGGTTTCACAGGATCCAGAGAAACCACAGAGTTCCAAACTCCCCTTAGTCATGCAAGGGTTAGGTTGAAACATAAATGAATGATGTCTGCCTACTATCTGGGATGTATGAAGGCACACACATTCTCGGGCTCATTTGGATAGTCGCATGGTGCTTCAGAAAGGCATTCTTACTTGCTAAATAGCTGTCAGTGTGAAAATACACGGCGTTGGTTATTCTAGGGAGCACACAAGTCAAGAACCAAGTGATGGCACATTAGGCTGCAAAGTTTAAAAGTTAATACAGCAGCATCAGGGATTTGCATTCGTGCCCAAAGGAGCTAAGTTAAAGTGAAATGTATCTCTTAAGCAGGCATTGAATAGCAAGACGAGAAATAAATTAAAGCTTCACATTGGCCTTGATGGCCTCTAGGAACTGTGTCTGTCCACACACGGATCCTTCTCACTGTCGATTCAACACACGCTCGGCAGACCTGGGGCCTGCAATTATTTCATTGCCTTTCTCGGCAATGTAATTTCCACTTACTTTCGGAGAAGAAAAGGCAGACACAAGGAAGAAGGAGTTACAGTATTTTCTGATTAAGATTATCTGTGTGAACCGGTCAAGGGAGGGAAATCTATATGCGCATGCTGAAACCTTCTCAGGAACGAACCTGTCTCTGTCAGATTGCCTTTGGGTCTGGACATGGGTGCAAATGCTGGCAGACTCTGGATGTCAAATTAGGTGTCAAACAAACGTAATAGGAAAGCCAGTGGAGGAATACAGATCATCTTCCTGTTAGCACTGTTCAAATGACTAGTCAAAAGGGGGGGGAATTAAAAGGACACAGAACCGTAAGAGAAAATGTGCTTTTAAACACAATGAAACTGGGTAAAACGACAAGTTGGCTCAGAAGGCCTTTCATTCCCAAAGGAGGTGGAGGTTGGGGGAGTGAACAGTACCAGTGAGGAAAACGGCCGAAAATACCAGTGGGCAAAAATAGATCCAACTTGAATTTCAACTCGGTTTGTCCAGGTTGCACCCTTTCAGCTAAGACAGCAAGGGTGTGAGGCATGGAGAGTGGGAGACCTTCTCTCTCCTGAGAGAACAGGAACTCAGAGGCTCAATTACCCATGATTACAATATTCACCTGATCTCATTTGTCTCACCTCTTCCTTTTATTCAAGTGCCAACCAATTGACATCCCAACGAGGCAACTAGAACACAAGTGTCGCCGAACTTCAGAAAGGGCTTGCCGTTGTTAGACGGCACGTGGATCCTCCGCCAGATCTGGGGGAAACCCAGAGGGGGCTGATTGACTGCCGATCCAGGGGCCATGGTGAGACTGCGGGTCAAGCCTTCTGAGGGACTCTCCAGAATCAAGACTTGCTCGCTCGCGCTCAGGATTGAGCATTCGGAAAGGCGCGTGTCCAACTGAGGGCCAGAACGGTAAGGTGGTAAAAAATGGAGCCTTTGGGGTGGCCCCGGAAGGTCAGGTTTCTTCCGGGGCTGCTCACGAAGCATTCATGACATGGGATGATGTACACACTGGGTCCTGAGAGAATACGTATCAGCCAGCTCGAGGCTTTCGGTAGAAAAAGAACCTGATTGTCAGACCAGTTTAGGGAAAGGGATGCTCTTTGCACATGGTGCCTGTTGTGCATCTGAAGGAGACCTTTAGGCTGAGAGCCTGGAAGCCAACCGGGGAGATCATGAACTGAATGGAAGAAAGTTATTTCCTGTTGAACCCCATCAGTCTCTCTCCCAAGAGAGACAAACCAAAGTAACACACGTTAGTCATCACAGATTCGTCTACACACTACTGAAAGAAGAGACATCGTCATTTACTTACTGAAAGGCAACCTGGGAACTCGTGCATCCTTCCAATTTACGGGGCCCTTCACCTGGCTCAGGTGTGGGGGGGGACCGGCTGTTGAATTCTGCCTCCAGAGTTTTCTTGATCAAGGCTGCTTTTGTTACACTGGATACAGAACCCAACACTGGCATGGATTTGGACTCTGAGGTGGCTAATATCCCGGTTGGACCTTAAAACCAAACACATACCTCAAGTTTAATGATTCGGCCTGATGCTTATTAATATGGTTCTGAAAAAACAGATTAGCTGCAGAGATAAGGACGTGAAAGGGCCAGATTTGTTTAGATCATAAGAGCATGCTGGAAAACGTTCCTACTGGACATTGGCTCTACTTCGGGGGTACTCTGACTTTTCAACGCGCTGGGACCATGCTGAGCAATTGTGTACAGATTTTTAAGAAACCACAGAACCCCAGGCCACAGCGCTCTCGCCCACTGGTCCTTAATAAAACTGAAACTGAAAAACCCTGTCTTCTCTTAGAGCATGGCTTTCTGACAGCCGACTTGAGCCATTTGGCCTCTTACGAGTTAATCCCTCCCCCAAACCAGCTCGCTGCTCATTTTAAACAGAAAAGGAGAGCTGTCCAAAGGCTCTTGACCAGGTCACGAAGGCTCCTGGAACACCAAACAGCTTTGATAATCATGTTCATTTTAATGTGAGTGAGAAGTAAGTGGATTTACCGCCTCTGAAAATGTAGGCGCAGATTATAAAAAGTAAATGGTAAAGAACTTGACTGTCTACCCTATGGATTTTGATTAAACTGTTACTGGCAGACCGATATAAAAATTCTGAGCACCGGGGGCTCAACACCATCACGACCTCCCTCCCTCCCTCCAGTGCCTGTCGTTATGCAGAAATAGTCTGCCCTGGGCAGCGTTCCTCACGGCAACGTCCTAGCATGTCTCCCCTGAAGCGTAGAAATCCTCTTGAAGAGTTGTAGGCAATGAAGTAAAAAAGGTGTAAGTAAAATGGTAACTTTTTACATGAAGCTAGAAGACAACCTTGCCAGGTGCCAATAAGGGGAGGACCATACGTGGGAACTGTGTTACCCTTAAGCAGTCAGATCATCTCCCAAGACAGACTCTTAAGCAACAGAATTTCAGTCTTACACGTAAATGAGAAGGCACTGGCGTGCTCCAACAGTGAACCATTGTCAACTCCAAAACGAAGTTCTAATTTGAAAAGGAGAGAAAAACGAACGTTGGGCATCTCCTTCGGCTTGAGTCTATGAGAAGACACACGCCGGTCACCTGTCATCCGGTGGAAAGTCCCAGCCTACAAAGCATTTGTGTCTGCCTTCCATATCATTCATCTCATCTATACCATCGGGGAAGACAGGTTTGTGACATTATTGTATATTCTAGTTTCAGAGGCCCTTCCCTCCCAACTAGGGGAAGTCCCAGGCTGTGTGGGGAGGTGGGAAGAAGAGCAAGAAAGTTCTAGACAATCTGTCAGACGTCGTATTGAAGAATTGTTTCCAATAAGCTCTATTCTGTCCTTGGAATCTTGTTGACTACGACACTAGACAGCTTTCAATAATCCGTCCTTGTAGAGGAGGCAAGATCTGTGTGTCATTTAGGTCAATGCCTGCCGCCTGCTCGGAAACTGAAACTGTATTAAAAGAGGGAGTAAGTGGGTGAGCTGAGCCAAAGCTTATTTTTCTTACATATCCAGAGAAATAGGAGGGACATAATATTTAAGATTATTATTACCACGATCACTAGTGGATCCTGCCTCAGCTACCCAGCATTTTTCCAGAGGCACTTCGAGATGGCCGTGTGGTGTAGACCACAAGGCTAGGTAGGTAAAGCAAGGGAACGTTAATTAGGCCTGTAGATAGAAGTCTACAGAAAATAAATGCTCCCGGGTCCTTGGAGAAGTCCTTTCTCCTGAGGTCCATGTTCTACAAAGCTCAGGCTCCTCCCTTTGTCCTCCTAAAAGCATCCCTCTCTTCATAGGAGACCACACATTTAAGACTTCCCAAGACCCTTTGCATGCAGAAGGCAAATCTTGAGGTTCAAGTGTGCCCAAGACACAAACCTACCAATGCCTCTCTCTGTCCAGCTTGTCTCCAGGGTACAGCTGTGCTGCCCATTTCTTCCTTACTTTGTCTTCCCTGGGATTCTCACAACTGTCCCTAAGCCAGTCTATGATCTTTATTTTAAAAATCCATGTGGCGTCTCTTTGAGTTTGATGCTAAGAACTCTTTGTAACACCCCAAACGAGGGGACTCCTCTTATTGGACAATGTTTGTTTCTTTCCTTTTCTTTTGCCTTGGCTACTAGAAAGCACTGAGGAATATTCCTGTAGAATTCCATGCCAGCCGCCATAGTACATTTCCCTTCTAGCACACCGATCGCACGGTTGTCACTTCTCTAGCCACCCTCCAGTGTGGTTTCAGTGAATACTTATCCAGTGGTTCCAGTGAGTATTTATCCTTTATTCTAACTTCCCTCAGAGGATACACTGAATACGTATAGATTGGTGAAGTTTAATCAATAAAATAAAAGGCTGTTGTTCACCATGCCTATAAACGTGTCCCTACTTTTACCCACTCTTTGGAGTATTCAAATTTCCACAGGCAATGTGTCTCCTTGGCTTTCCCCACTGACACTGACCCTGGCACAGTGCGTGGGACCGCTTTTAGAACAAGTTCATGAGCAAGGATGCTTTGTTTTGGTAGGGGGAGGGGGAAGGTATGTAAATTGGTGACAAAACACAAAATTTTAACTGCCATTGCCCACAAAGGCAGCCACAATGTCCTAAATAATGATGCGGCATCTCCGTAAGGAAGAAATGATGCAAGAGATGACTCAAGCACTGATCAATTTACAAAAATCACTATGGAAGACAAGTGCTTAAAAGCAACCTGAAAGATCTGACTCCATATGGCGGGGGTGGGGTGAGGGGTGTACTTTTCTAAGGGGCGGAATCCCGGTAGGATTTTAACCAGGGACTGTCCAAACCCAATGAAAACCAAATAGCTGCATTTCCTGGAAGAAAACAGCCGGCAGCTTTCAGGAATAGAAGCTTCCGGCTGGAGAGTGCCTACCCAGCTTGAAGGGAGAGCTCGCTGACCCATGGCCCAAATCCTTCACACGCCAGCAGCTCACGGGATGCGCCCAGGTTTGACAGATTGACGCTGGTCAGTAGACTGACCAGAGCAGCCTAAATGATGGCGGTTTGAAGCTGCGGACCCTGAATCGAGGAGGCTCATCCTGTGGGCTGCTGACTAATGTGAATCTCGAGATCGTTTTTCAAAGTCAGCCTCGACCCGGCCAGAAACGCTTTTTCTCAGCAAGCAAAACGAAAGTTACCCAAGGTGGAGTGGATTCAGAGGTCTAATGTGTGCCTAACATGATCCAAACTCAGCTTCCGATGTCCTCAGAGGGCACATTGAGCGTTTGCGCTGTAATTCCTCATTCACTCGGTGCCCACCAGTCGTCAAGAGCTAAACAGGGAGGAAGGGTCCGGCGGATTTCTCGCTATTGGTGACTGACGTGTAATCACTCCCATTCCGAGCAGCAATTCATGGCGAGCTGACTTGTCTTTCAGGCACAGTGCTGTACTCTTCACACAGCGACTTACGGAATGAATCCTTGTGGGAATCCTTGTGAAGTACACCCTTGGACCACCCTCACTTTACAGAGGATGGAACTGAGGCACGGAGAGGGTCTGTGCAAGGAGAAGCACCTGGGAACCGGCAGACAGGACTCCGACTCAAGCCGCCTCGTTCCCAAAGCTGCCCCCCGTGAGGTCGTAGTGCCAAGGCCTGCGCTGAGAATCTTAACCCAAGGCATCTCGCAGTAAGCAACCCCGAGTCCCAAAATTCCCCAAATCACCCCCAAATCAGTCACTCAACAAACCTACCAATACTTGAGCGCGCTGACGCACTATCGTCCCGCAGGACCTTTGCCCTCCCTTACTACTCACTCACATTAAAAACATTTATGAAAAGCAGCGGCCTTTTCCGTCATTGTGAAAAGACGATTGCGCGTTACAAAGGGGCGTCAAGGCAGAGTGTCAGAGAAGAAGAGGAAGACTGGAGAATGCAAACCAGCTTACTACTGCTCTCTGCTTCTGCCGTCACTTTCCTGCGGCGCAAAATCCTTTCTAACTCAGTTTCACTGTTTTCAGGGTCAAGGGATTTTAAGCTTCTGGAACTAGTGGATTTGTTAAGTGTCCCCTAAAGTGAAAAAACAAAACAAACACAAAAAGGTTAATGTCTTAACACAACATGCAAATAAATAAATACTTAAATAAATAAAAATCAAATCACCAACACATTACCAGAATTTAAATGGAACAAGCGAAGGAAATAAATTATGTACATATATATGTATATACACACATACACACATATATATATAAGTCTACATATATATATGCATCTATTTGGCAACATTCAGTGTAGGATCATTCAAGACCATGTGACTAATGACGTAAAGGCCAGGTCTCATAACGAAAGAACAGGTCAGAAACACGTCTTCATGAGCTCGCTACATGAAATTCCGTGGTGGTCGTAAGGCACCTGCATGTTGATGGCTCAGATTTGGAGGCGTGCTGATCTCGGGGAGAAGAGAAGAGATCTGTAAGACTCACCTGGGAAAGACGTCGGATGGCCGCCGTGTACTATTGCACACAAAGACATGGTGCCCTGGGCATACATTGATGTCGGTGTGAAAGAGGAAGGTTCTCATCATACAGGACAGTGAGGAGGAGCCCCCTTGTCCCACTTTCCTCACAGAGAGGATTCCAGAGGGTGCTGTGCGTAAGTGCCTGGTGGCTAACTGAAAGGTGGGGGTGGGGGGGCTTCACACCCACCAGCTGCTTCTCAGAAGCAGACTTGACCCTGGGCAGCATCCGTAGAAATGGAACCCCTGTGGAGCCATTCCACTTGGTTCCAGTTGGAACTGACCCAAGGGCAATGCATTGTTTTTTGGTTATGATTTTTTTAACAGAGGAGCCCAGGGCCCAGAAGAGACTGAAGGAAGCAAGAGATGCCACAAAGCTGTATGCCTACTGGAAGTGAGACTCGCTTCTAAGAAGGTAAAGAAATGCTCTTGCAGTGGTTGGCTGTTTTGCTCCCCTGGGACGTGAGCTGGGGAGGAAGAGCTATGACTTCCCTGTCCCCATGACCAGCCAAGTATCTGTAGAGAACACACGGTGAAATGCTTCCCTGCTGATGGAGGGAGGAGCAGCACATCATCACAGCACGCCCTTTATCGATTCTAAGAAACGGTCCTCCCTCGACTGAGCCATAGGCTTAAGAACAAAACGGAGTTGCGCCACAATCCTGCGAGTGTAGCGAATCAGAACCGAAACTCTGGGATCATCTGCCCATCTTCCAGCCAGAGTTAGAAGGTAGTTTTGTTCAAGGCTAACCACCAATGGCTAACAAAGTTACTAAGGGTTTGCCTTAATGCCAGTCCTTTCTCCTCCTGTCAGCCTCCTGAAGGATTCTCAAAATTCCACTGCCTACAAACAAACATTAATCCATGTTTCTTCTTCAGCCTATAAAATAAAAAAGGAGTTGCTTGGGGGAGAATCAGGTAGTTTACAAATCCCAAATGATACCGGTCATTTGGTTTAGAGCGTGTTTCCTACTTTAGTTCTTCCAAGTGCATACAATTATAGAAAAGCAACCCGTTGTCAGGGGAGAAGCTGCTAACAAGGTGGGGGCAACATACTCGTTTGGAGTCTGCTGCCTAACCAAACTGATGTGTGAAAGACTTGGGTAATTCTGTGTTTGCATCAAGCAGTTACTGTCTTTTTCCCTGGGATGCACCTTCTTACTTTTCCTTTATTGCAAAGATCAAAAGGAACCCGCATCACCTATAACACTCACTCGCTGGCATCGAGTCAATATTAACTCAGAGCAACCCTACAGAGCAGGGTGGAATGGGGCCCTGTGAATTTCCCAGACTGTAACTTTTTATGGGAGTTAAAAGCCCTGTCTTTCTCCCCAAAAGCAGTTGGTGGTTTTGAACTGCTGACCTTACGGTTAGCAGCAACAGGAAACCATGATGCTACCAGGGTTCCTTCAAGTGACATTAGAAGAGCTTATTTTACAATTTAAAAACAACACAGGTGAGTTTATTTCGCAGTGAACAATGAAGGCAGTTAACAGAACTGCTCACGGAAGTCATTCACATGGCAAGGCATGATTGGCACTGACAACGTAAGGCAAACACAACCAAAGCCACCTTTTAGGCACTTCAAGGGAGCCCTGGTGGTGGAATGGTTATGCACTGGGCTGTCCACTGCAAGGTGGGTAGTTTGAAACCACCAGCCCCTCTGTGGGAGAAAGATGAGGCTTATGACCCCAGTAAAAAGGTTACAGTTTTGGAAACTCACAAGGGCAGTTCTACCCTGTTTCCCCAAAAGTAAGGCATCCCCTGAAAATAAGACCTATTTACAGTTTTGCCTCTC